AAAAAAGTGCTCATATTTCTGAATTGTGAACAGAGAGTTTGGGGCAAACTTTCCAAGTTGAAATGGTAAATAGATAATAAATAAAATTAGCAAGGCAATAGATATTGAGCAAGACATTTGATAAACAAACATCAAAGCAATTTGGATTATTATTATAAATTAAAAGTTCTTAAGTCGGAAGGGTAAGGAACATATATGTCTGTGTATGTGTATGTATACTTGTGTATAGTCGTCTTTACTAATTTTCTCTTCTACTAAAACCAAAGCCAAGCTCACTGCCATTGAGCCTATTCCAATTCAGAGCGATATTATAGGTCAGAGTTAAACTGTTGTAATTGATTGAATAAGTCCTTAATTAGTATGCTAGATTCTTTAATGATGAATCAATTTAAAAACAACTTATTGATAATCCTCTTTGTCCCAGGAACTGTCATGATTTATTCTTTATGCCTTTCCTTCAAGGCATCAGCTATGACTTGGTGATAAATTTCCCCAGCCTTTCATTTAAATTTAATTTAAATCCAGCTAGGAAATGAAGATTAGAGGAGATTAATTTAAATCTACCTGATACTAACATACTTTCCCCACTTTATCATGTCACCTATCTCATTTTTAAAAGAGTGATATTCTAATAGAATAAATGACTTTAAAATGATATCGTAGTTAATCTTAGGAAGAAACCCATCCAGCTTTATAGAAATTTCCCACCCTACTGATGAGTACCAGTTGACACATGTGTACCAGTTGACACATCAGTGTGGTAGAGGAGTGCTGTAGCAATGGCCACCATTTTAATGGACCAGTTCTTAGATAGAGTGTTATTAAGTAGATTCCATATTACCCATGGATTTGAATATTATAATCCTTCATTTTATTAGGTGAGGGAACACAAGGAGAATTTGGATAACTAATGAAATGTTATACTTTATTTATTTCTAAAATTGGCCTTTCCAAAGTTCCACAATTGTTTCTTGTACATTTTATAATCACATTCAATCAAACATCTTTTGAGGGCTATTTCATAATGAATGAGATCATAAAATAATGTTTGAAACTTTATAATAAAATAACCAAAATATGTACCATATATGGCAAGAATTCATAAACTTAAATATACTCTTTGCATATGTAACATGCTATATTCATTTAAATTATACAATGGATTATTTTCTATATCAAGGAAATATAGAAATATTCAAATTCCAATACTAAATTGATAATCTTTATCCTTTGAGTTTCATGGTGTCTCTTAACTAAGAACTTTTTGTTCTTCTTTTGATCTATTTCATATTTCTTCCAGTTTTTGAAAAGTTCTGTTTTCTTTTAAGTTGAAATTTGTCTGTTTTGTTTTGCCATTGTTGTTTTTGTTTGTTTTTTCTTGATTTTGTTTGGTATGTGTTTTCTTTATATAAAATCTAGGACACATAAAGTTAAAGAAACAGTAACTTGATGAATAATTATAGTGACATGTCAAAGGAGGTTGGGAGAAATGGGGAGCTAACAACAATAACTACAAGAAAGAAGAAAACATTCTAAAATTGATTGTGGCAATGACTGCATAACTTCTTAAATGTCTGAAATATTGAATCAAATGATATATGAATTACATGTAAATACATAATGTTAGAAAAGAGCTAATCAAATGTTCCTTGGTTGCCACCGGGATCACTCTGAGTCAGCGTTTCTACATTAAGACAATGGAATGAACAGTATTAGCATTATTCATCAGGGTTAGAAGAAAACCTACATGTTGCCAATTGAAGCGTGTACCAAGAACTAAAATTTTCAGGGGAAATAACTAATTTTAAAAATGATAGTTCTAGTGATCAATTTATTTTGTTATATATGGCTGATGCAAATCCAATGATGGATTAATTGTAGCCAGTTAGAGAGAGGGGAGTGACATGAGGAAGAGATGGAGGATATGCTGGTGCAGAGACAGGTTGATAGTTATGGAAATAAAACAAACTTATCAGGGAAGTTAGAGAAGATATATCAAGTCATATGCATAAAATTATGATAGACAAACACAAGTGAGATGCAAAAGCAATAAGGGGCCAACAAAAGAGAGTATATCACAGTTACAACCTGTAGACAATGACAGACAGGCGTGGGAAGATCTGTCCAGAGACAAGACTAAGGTATCATCTAAAAGAGCCCCCAAAATGCTAAGGAAAAATATTAAAAGAATGATATCAATAGACATATAATGCAAGAATTAGGGTGATATTTAACCAAAGTTTAGAATAATGTTAGAAAAGGTGTAAACTGAAGAATTACAAAAGGTTATTCCTTCAAAGGTTTTGGATGTCAGACTAAGATCCCCACCCACCCCTGAATTTTAGAACATTTAATATAATAATTACAACAAATTTACTCTGTAATTAAGATAGACTATTCTAGGATTATTATTTCCAAGAAACGAATTCTCAATTTGACATTTGATAATTATTAGTTTCTTTTACACTAGAATATATGTTTATATATCACTTGAATGGAAATTTGTCATTGTGAATTTTGTTGTAGGATAGTGTTAATAATTTTGATGTTAGATATTTATAAATGTATGTACATAAAATTAAAATAAACAGGTCTTTCTGATAAGGGAAAACAGCATAGTTAATATATTTCAATGCATTTAATGTACGTATGCAGCAAAGCAAAACTAAAAAAAATTAAAGCCATCTTCTAGACAAAAGATTAAATGCAAAAAGCATGAATTGATGTTAAAATGATCTTTCTTCTTCTCAGAATTTTTATTCATTTTCAAGAAGATAATAATATTAATTAAAACACTCAGTATTTTCTGAAAGATACTCAAACGGTTCTTTACAAGGTAAAACCACAAGGATTATTAAAATGACTATTTTAGTTTTCAACATATCATTTTAGCAAGACATAGATCCAATGCATAATAAATTAAAATGAAGAAAGGTGATTAGCTGTGTGTATTTTAGTTTAAATGACGTCTTTCTTGTGTAGATTCACTATTTAAATCAGAAAATGATTTTACTCTTTAGGGTCTGATAAATAGATTGTGTGCTTTGTTACTGTAAAAATACTTTCCCTTTGCCTCGTTATGGCAGCAATGAAGTTAGAAGTGGGTAATGTGATGAATTTCTTGGATTTACCTTTGCTTCAATCTGTTTAGTGTCTGGATTTTGAAACAAAAATTTGATTTTGCTCTTGCCATCATCTGAAGAACCTTTAAGCTGAGAAAATTTGTACCTCCAAAGTACAGCCTGAAGGAAAAATAAAAAAACAAACACAATCAAGTGAATGAAATTGTTGACTGCCTCTAAATTGAGAGATAGTCATTTTTTAGTGATAAAAGCTAATCATACAGAATAGCACATTCCAATATTAAGTCAAAACATTACAAAAATATATAGTAGGGAATAGATCCCTCAGTTTTAAAAATGACCTTTCTTCCAATGAAGTAACCATTTGAGGTTATATAAAAATAAAACACTTTGTGGGTATCTTTTCATATTTTAAAATGGAATAAGACACTTAAAATATGTGCCTATACCAGCGAGTAAATGAAAACAACTCTTATCTGTTTCCTTGTTTTATATAAAAACGATGAGGAGTCTCAATGAATAATTCCATAACTTTCTCTTGGATTTCTAAACATAGTATGTGCGTTCTAAAGATAACATTTAAAAACAAAATGAAACCAACACACACACACACACACACACACACACACACACACACACAATATTGCCAAATCTGTAGTATAGCTCTGGAAACCTTGAGAAGGCATTTTCTACTCTGTCTTCAAGGCTTGTCAACCTTGACAGTTGATGGCCACATCTTTCTCCTAGGAAGTGGCTCTGGTTCACATCGTGGACAATTCCAATGAGAAACAGAAGGCTTGAACCACTGGGCTTCCAAGGCTCTTTAGATGAAACACCATCCTGATACACACTTGTGGCCAAAATTAATGTTGCTCCCATGAATTTCAACTGAAATGATCATTATGTAAACCTTTTGTTTCCATTTGTCTATATCACTGACAAAGTAACATCTATCTGAAATACATTGTATAAATGAAATTCTCTGTAGCTGAGAGTAATAAAACGCAATAAATAATAAAATAGAGGTATAAAAGTGTTAAATTGGCTGTAAGTGGAAATAGTGTATCATGGTTCCTTACACTTTAATATTATAAGTCTTATTACCTCAGGGTATATACAGCACTTTGGTGTTCATTGCATCCAAGAACTAACAACTTTCATGTCAAAAGTAAAATAGCAAGCATATAAAGCATTAAACGGAGAAGCTTTGCATGCATATTCAAACAGAACTGCACACAACAGTTTCTTTCTGAGAATCCACTTGGAAAAGTGTTTTCTTTGTTATTTAAATTAGTCCAGTGTAGTTTAAGTCCATTTCTTCTGCAATATAAAATAAAGGAGCAAAGCAGAGATGGGGTAAACTGAGGATAAGACAAATGGAGATATCCAAGGAGCTATGAAGTCAAAGTGGAAGAAACCATGACCTTCCTCCAGAGCCAAGAGAGAATCTATCCCTAGAGCCAGGGCTCTGAATGTGGACTTCTTGCTTTTTAAACTGTGAGAAAATACATTAAAATTACCCACGTGTGATATTTCTATTATATCATAACATTAAAAACTAAGATGACATATGGAATCAATCTTGTTTTATTGTCATTAATTGGATAATTAATATATAAAATGAGCCTGTGATAAAGGTATATCCAAGTAAGTTTAGCCTTATATTTTCTCCCAAATATTAATTCACATAAACCAAAACAGTAAACTTTCTGAAAGTTGAACCTGTATAAGTTGGCAACCTGTCAGTTGGAAAAAGTCAAGCAATTTTCACTGGAATAAATGATAGAAAAATAGTGAGATTATACCCTTTTAGTCACTAATGCAGTTTTCAATTTTCTTAAAACCTCTTTCGAATTATCTCCGGTGACTGTCCTGCATCTTTCAAGAAGATCTATCAACATCATCCATTGCTGTTGTTCAGTGCTGACAAGTCAATTCTAGTTTACAAAGATCTGATGTACAGCAGGGCAAATCACCATTAGGGCTTGCATCATCCTCCGAATTGTTACATGTGAGCTCATTGTTGCAGCTAGTGTATCTTCCATCTCATTGAGGATTTTCTTCTTCTTTTTTTTTTTCTTTTTGCTGATCCTCAGCCAAGCATGATGTCCTTTTCCAGAACCTCTCATGATGAGCAGCCCTGAGGGTACAGTGAAGGAAGCATTGGACTACTAACTGCAAGTCAGCATTTCAAGCCCATAAGCCACTTCTCAAAAAAAAAAAAAGCTTTCTGTTTCAATTAAAAAAAAAAGTATAACCTCTGAAACCCAAAGTGGCAGTTCAACTCTGTTCTACACGGTCCCAATGCTTTGAAATAGACTTGGTGGCATAACATTTGTCTCATTACCCCCTGATAGCACGTCCACCACTTTTCTGTATGTTTGTCGAGCTTTGGTGGCTTGTGTGTTGCTATGATGCTGAAAGTTATGTCAGTGGTATTTTGAATGCCCACACAGGCACCTAAAATGAACAGGAATCCTAGGAGCTTCCAGACTAAGAACAGACAATGCGTAAGGAATAGCCTGCCCATTTCAGAAGAAGGAGGCACTGAAAACCTTATGCATATTTTCCAAACATTGTCAGATACTTAAAGACTAATGAATGGAGCAGAACATTGTCTGAGCTAGTGCTAGAGGATGCGCCCCTCAGGTCTTAGGGCAGTCTGCATGTGACTCAAGAGGACCAAGTTTCTTGGAGTGGAGTTGACTACAGTGACGTAAGTCTGGTATAGGTTGGGGGAGGGAAGGACCTTCATTTGTTGGTGGGACACAACTCAAGGTAAGGAGAAATAGCTGTGAAAATCTGCTAATGATCAGAAATAGAATAAGCTAAGAATGCATTTAGAAAATTGGAAGTGGTCAAAATGAAATGTAACACATACAGATTGATTTCCTAGGCATTAGTAAACTACAATGAACTAGATCTGACCATTGTGAATTAGAAAATCATACCATTTACTATTCTTGGAATAACGCAAGCAAGCGGAATGGTGTGGAATCTATTGTCAGAAAGCATCTTGCTAAATCCATCATGAAGTACAATGTTTCTGCAATAAGATTATATTCATCTATCTCCATGGAAATTCAATCAATCCACTATTCTTCAAATTTATTCCATAAACATTAGTGATGAAGTAATATGAAAAATTCTACCAAAAACGTGTCAGAAACTGATCAAACATGCAATCAAGATTCATTGATAATTATTGGCAACTGTAATGCAAAAAATGGAAACAAAATGGAATGAAAATTGTTGAAAATATGGACTTGGTATTAGAAACTAGGTTGGAGATTGCATGATAGAATTTTGTAAGAGCAACAATTTGCTCATAACAGATACTTTTTTTCAACAACACAAAAGATGTCTATACACATGAATTTCTCCAGTAGGAATACACAGTAATCAAATTGACTACGCCTGTGTTAAGATAATGGATAAGTTCAATATCAGCAGATAAAATCAGGCCACAGATACAATCATCAATTCCTCATGTGTAAGCTCAGTGTAAAACGGAAGAAAATGAAAATCAATGCAATAGAGCCAAAATATGAACTTGAGTCTATCCCACCTGAATTTCAAGAACATCTCAAGAACTAATTTGATGCACTGAACACTAATAACAGAAGACCTAATGAGCCGTGGGAGGACATCACAACCTCCTTTCACGAAGAAACAAAAAGTCATTAACAAGGCAGAAAGGAAAGAAAAAAAGCAAAGTGGAAATCAGAAGAAACTGAAATCATAGAGAGTGTGGTCGTTACACAATTTCACGTCAACTTGATAAATAGGTTATAGGGGTGGAGTCTAGCCTGTCATTCAGGTCATAGTCTGATTGATGTCTCCTTGTGGGCATGAATTTCTCATGAGGATTCTAGAAGTTTTCCTCTCTTCCTACTTGGAGGTAGGGCACACTTTCTCTGACTTTTTCACCTTCCTGTTGACAAGCCACATGTAGTCATGCTCACGGCAGCCTGAGCCCTGGAGATGCTTCCACTGTCACTGGATCAAAAAACTTTCCACCCACTTGCTTGTGATCTTCCTGTATTCAGCATCATTATATGTGTTGCATGATTCTGAAGAGGAATTTACAGATTAGAATCGGGCATATAGGATTACATTGCACTTCTGGACGTGATCTGGACTGGGATGCTGCCTAAATATGCAATTACTCTTTGATGTAAAGCTGTTATACAATATGAGTGTCTCAACCCAGACTAACACAAGTAGCGACTGTAAAGGAAGAAATGATGGAGTCAAACAACTGAATAGAAAAATTCAAGGGAAGCTAAAGAAGACAAAGTCATATATGATAATGAAATATGTAAAACTTAGAATTCCAAAAGAAGAACACACCCTGCATGTCCAAAACTGAAAGAACTCAAGAAAAATTTCAAGCCACAAGTTGCAATAATGAAAGATCTTATAGACAAAACTTTGAATGAGCAGGAAGCAGCAAGAGAAATTGGAAATAGTATACACAGTCACAGTACCAAAAGGAAAGAACGGACTTTCCACCACTTCAGAAGGTACCACATGAGCAAGAGCCAATGGTGCTAATGAAAGAAGTTCAAGCAAAAACAGCATTTCAGGAATTGAGGGAAGGCCAATAGAAATGTTCCAACAAGCTGATGAAGCACGCACTAGTCTATGCAGGGAATTTGGCAGACTGACTGGGAGAGATCCATGTTTGTGCCCATTCCACATAAAGGTGACCCAATAGAATGCTAAAATTATGGAGCAATGGCATTGGTATCACGTGTAAGTAACATTTCGCTGAAGATCATTCAATAATAGTTGTAGCAGTGCCTTATCAGGGAACTGCCTGAAGTTCAGACTGGATTCAGAAGACTGCATGGAACAAAGGCTATCATTGCTGATGTTAGCTGGAGCTTGGCTGAATGTAGAGGAGGCCAGAGCTGTTCACTTGGTTTTATTGAGTGGGAAAAGGCATTTGATGCCCCGAGTGGCATCACTCCGCTCCAACACGTCAAAGAGGTCTTGTGCAGCCACTAGAAACACTCAAATTATCAAAGATTGTGTTAGGTGCACCTTAGTTTAAAAATGATGTCTTTGTCTTTCAGCACTTTCAAGAAATATTTTGCTGAAGATGCGCCCAATGCAAGATGCAATTTGATTTCTTGACTGCTACCTCCATGAGT